CGGAAGTTCCCTTACAATAAAATTCACTGAAACGAAAATATCGTTCAATGGTAACAATGAATCAAAACAACAAATGACTAAACATAAAAATATCCTACAGGTGTACTAAATTACCATATAGTAATTCTTCTATGTGGCGTGTCCCTTCAGGTTGTTGATGATCATGGTTCTCCATAATTTCCCGTTCTTTGTAGCTTTTTGCTATCAACCCAAACCCTGAACCATCATCCATTTAATCAAGCTTGCCAGATAGAGTATTGGATAGAGGCTCGGATTGAGGAATCGGAGAGCCGAGTTCGAAATCCGATCAAATCCATTACATTCACTTACGTGCGATTACCCTTGGGAAAGGTATGAATCCTCTTCTTTTTCCACCAGCTATGGGTAAATAGCAGTTCAGACCTGGTTCTATAGCCTTGGATGGCAACTGCTCTACCGCAGAAAGAAACGGCAACCTAATGTATCGAAAGATACATGATCGCCTAAGCATGTATCCCGCATGACACATAACTGACTACTAGATAGGTTATGAGCTGCTTTCCCCTGTCTCTCTTACCTTCAATCTGCCCTGTGATTATCCAATTTTCCAAGCCCTCTTTCCTCATTATGTGCCTCAGAAAGTTTCTTCCTGATGTTAATTATAAGCGTCCTTTTTGCTGTCACTGTCTCTATAACTTCGTCGATGCTCACGTGTTTGGTCAATGCTCAGATTCTTTCTGTAGAATTACATTTCTATTGCTTCAAATCTCTTCTTCATCTGTGAGGAGATTGTACAGTATTCACTGCCATGGACGAGGAAGGCTATTACCATAGGTGTATTAAATTGCCATATTTATATATGACTTTATACGAATAAAAAGAAAAAAAGACAAGTAAATCTCTGCGAAATACCTGGTGTAGGAATTTACGTCAAAAATATTAGTCCTTGCAATATTGAAATATTGAAATTTATTGAAAATATTTTTCCTCGAAAATTCTCGAATAATAGTCGGACTAATCTTTTAAGGAGTTAATTAATCCGTCAAATACGCTATATGCAAATTAAAATTACTCATTGTTTTCATTGGAGTGTCATGATTGATTTCCTAAATCATTATTTTATTTTTCCGGAGATGAAAAATGTGGAAGAAACGATTATTTAGTGTCAGTATTTACTAAAGAAAATACTAAAGCGTCGATGTTCTCGGCATATTAGGGCTCGGTTTTGGAACCGTAGTATTGATCTCAATTTGAAACCAAAATTATATATATATATATATATATATATATATATATATATATATATATATATATAGTGGATGTGTGTGTGTGTGTGTGTGTGTGTGTGTGTGTGTGTGTGTAACGAATGCACAGTCGCAATTTTCGGCGGATTTGTACCAAAATTTACATGCACATGTTCCAAGTTAGCAGGAAGGCCAAGACTGACATTGCATTTCTCAACTCCCATTGATAGTGGAAATAATCGATTTTTTCATGCTTCTACGGCAGTTTTCATGTAGTTTGCGGCCATTTTCTACTGGCCAGAGTGAGAGACTATATATAGCTGGCTGCCACTATTAGGCAGGAAGATTCTATTGGCCAGCGTGAGAGCCAACAGCTGACTGACACGAATGTTAACTAGCATGCTAGCATGCAAAAAAAATCGATAGCTGCTTTCGTCACAAGTGGGAAAAAAATTTAATCTGCATGGCACTTTACTCCAATTGGCTCATTCGCTTGCTTAAACTCAACGTTGATTCTGATTCCGCAGAACTGGGTTGGCTGTTAAAAATGTATTTGTTGTTAACAGTCTTTTTTTTATTCGGTTTTTCCAGTTACGAGTCCTTTTTTAAAGCTGATCGTTTTGTGTTCATTTTGTTTAGTTCTTTTTTCGTAACAGATTTAATGTTTAGTATAAAGCTAAGAAAAATTCGCAGTGTGAGATAGGCAAGAAGTAAGGCATGTAGCAACATCAGCACGGCAAAGGGCACTCCTTTAAAGGCAAGTAAGGGCAAAAATATTTTAAGCGATTGCTGTATGTGTCGTACGATTTTTGAATCAAGCACGGGCAACGGCGGGCCATACTGCTAGTATATATATATATATATATATATATATATATATATATATATATATATAGAGAGAGAGAGAGAGAGATAGATAGATAGATAGATAGATAGATAGATAGATGATAGATAGATAGATAGTAGCAGAAATAAACAACTAGATATATATTTTATACATTGAATGCAAAAATATATTTCGAAACACGAAATCAAGTCAATAATACAATTTTCCAATTTATCAAATTTATAAAACTTTGTTTGGATTCTATATCTTATTTATACACATAGATAGATAGATAGATAGATAGATAGATAGATAGATAGATAGATAATGTTTATGATATATAATGACACAAAATATTTTTCCAAATCCTTACCGTTTTTTAAAGAAACGAGTTTAGGTTCAAAATCTTAGCGCTGGAATTTAATTCCGGTGATCAGTGATAGCGTTATGAAATTTATAATTTTCTGAAGCTTTACAAATTTTATTTGGACAAGATACATGGCACAAACACATTATTACTAAATCACTGTTCCATCAAATAATACCCTCATTTACTTCAGAGGGAAATTATACTGAACAATTTAGCTATATTATATGTTATACGGTACAGTAGTTTTAGTGATTTTTAATAAACAATGCAAATTTGAAACATTTTGTCTCATAATGTGTGCCCAGCAATATTACGATATTATATACATTTTTAGCCATTTTTTGTTCTTATTAATTATAATCTAACAAATGATCTAAAAAAACCTTATTCATCCTGCAGCCATTTTTGTAATTTTTATTGTTTTTACTTATCGAATACAGTACAAAAAATGGATATTTTGCTTGTGGTGATTTATGATTAGAATTCTAGTTTGAATATATATTTTGTGCATTCAATGTATCTAATACAAAAAATCTCAACTTTATTTGGATTTATTCTTGAAATAGTGAAAATTTGAAGTCAGTTTGTAAGCAAAAACATGCGGAAATTAGCTATTGCTGTGCATTTTTCGGACAATATTTAAAACTAAATGCTCAAGATTTAGTAAAGGCTACGAATCTATTTTTTGGTGTCAGCAATTATCATATCAAACCCCAGCTTTTGAGTGCAATGTTGATTTTCTAAAAGAGTGAAAAATCAACCTATATCTATGCTCTTATTAAATATTCGTATGTATTTTCTCGATATATGAATATGAAGTAAAAACGTAAACGCAATAAATGTGATAGAAATAAAGAAAGTAAGAATTTTTGTATAATAATATTCACAAAGCTCAAGAGCTACTCGAGGTAGAGTAATAATTATGGCGAAGGATTTTTTTTTAAATTTAAGGATAAAATTTTATTTTAATTTTGGATAAGGATAATTAAATATTTATTTACCTAAAATTCAATGCAGAAGAGCGATGTTAATATCTTTCGTTCAACCCATTCTGAAGAATATCGATCGGAAACTACCTTAAATTCGATGAATCAAAACTGGGAGATTGTGTAAACAAATTTCGACAAAAGAAGAAAATTGAAAAGAAAAGAAAAGGCATGAATTGAAATAACGACGTTTCTATAAATGTCCCAGAATTTCGTTCTTTCATTTAGACCGAAGGACGCCAGCTTAGCCGAAAATTATAACGATTTAATATTGAAGCACAGACAGAAGCAAACACATATTTCTTTCGTTCTGATTTGCGGAAGCCGATATGACAAGGCAAAACACGAAATCAAGTCAATAAGTTTGCCTGGATTATATATCGTATTCTTTTATATATATATATATATATATATATATATATATATATATATATATATATATATATAGAGAGAGAGAGAGAGAGAGAGAGAAAGTGATAGATAGATAGATAGATAGATAGATAGATAGATAGATAGATAGATAGATAGATAGATGATTTACAGCACTACCTAGAAGAAGAGATAGATAGATAGATAGATAGATAGATAGATAGATAGATAGATAGATAGATAGATAGATAGATAGATAATTTACAGCACTACCTAGAAGAAGAGATAGATAGATAGATAGATAGATAGATAGATAGATAGATGAATAGATAGATAGATAGATAGATAATTTACAGCACTACCTAGAAGAATAGATAGATAGATAGATAGATAGATAGATAGATAGATAGATAGATAGATAGATAGATAGATAGATAGATAATTTACAGCACTACCTAGAAGAAGAGATAGATAGATAGATAGATAGATAGATAGATAGATAGATAGATAGAATAGTGGTAAATAAAAAAGATAGATAAGGCGCCTACTGTAAAACAATCTTTATGCCCAGACCATGTCTAGTATCATGAGGTCGTGTCTCTCCCGAATTCAACTACTGTGTCTCTCTACCACACTAAATAAAAATGAATGTAATTACATTTTATAATCAACTTCTTTTGTATAAACCGAAATGCTTTGAAAAGTGCATTTATTCCATATTTTTGAATTAGGGTTGAGGGCAATTTTGAATTTGAGTTTTTCTTGTTCTTCCTAATAACCGGTTTCCGTTTTCATGCGACAAAGAAATTTACAAAAACTTCTTGTTTTTTCTTTATTCATTTTTGCTTACGTTATTTTTTTTCGCTGATCTAAATCATTTGATAATGCCTTAAATCAATAAATAAACAGAATAATTAGAAAATCTTAGAATAAAAATTCAATTTATTTTCATAAATTTCCTCTCAGAAAAGTACGAAATACCAAAAACAAAGGAATATTTTTCCTCTAACCTCACGTAAACACAGAAAAAATGTGTGGCATCTAGCAAAACAATGCTATCATTTTAGAGGATTCTAAAAAGCCAATTTTTATTTTACTTTATCCATTGTTTAAATTACTCCTTCAAAACTTTCCTTAAGGTCCTGAAAATTTCTTTTCTTGTATTTCTAATTCATCTTTTTTTTTAACAGCAAATACGTCTTCTTTTTCATCTTTTTTAACAGCAAATGTGTTCTCTTTTTCGTCTTCTCTTTTCACGGCAAATATGTCTTCTTCCTCTTCTTCTTCTTCTTCTTCTTCTTCTTCTTCTTCTTGACAACAAATATATATTTTCTGCCTTTTTTTCTTCATATTCAAATGCACCATATCTTTTTTTTCTTTTCCTCATCTACGTTTTCGTTCTTTTTTCAACAAAATTCGCATTCAGGTTTTCAACAGTTACCTACCCCCATCTCACTTTTCACTTTCTCTCTTTTTCCCTTTTTCAACAGAGGTAGAACCATTTCTTTACCATTACCTTCTATTTAATTGCTTGCGCCATTTTCCTCCATTCCTTCTGGATAACAATCTTGCAAGTTCTAAATTAAAAAAATGTCAGCCGTTACCACGTATTCCATCTTCCCGACCAAATCACTCGCAAATGAGAAAACGTTTAGTCCCCTTATCGTCCACTACTTTCTTTCACCCCTTTCTCTCATTGCCCCCCCTCCAACCGAACACTGTCGAATTATTATCTCAAGTGTCCCCTACAGTTGAAAATGACGTATGAAAGCAATAGAGAACAAAGGTGTTAGAACAGCGATTAAAAACGTCATCGGGACTGGGGCGGGGGTGAATGTGGCGGGAAAAATGGGACGCGGATTTTGGCGAAAAACATGGAAGAATCTATGCTTGATTGAATGTATTTTACTTTATCAGTTTAATTGAATTTTGATTGAAGAATAAAGAAAAAAAATAACAATGTTGGTAAAAGGGTGGAGGTGCGCAAAAAAGCCTGAAACAAAACTAGTTCATAGTTCGAATAACAAAAAAAAAAAAAAAAAAAACTAACAGCAAACATCCTTTTTTTGTTTTAATTTAACGTACTTTTGTTTCTCGCTTCCAGATTTGTTTTTTTTTATTTTCATTTTTGTCTTTGTCGTTTTATCCCTACTTTTTTTTATTTTTTTTGAATAATTTTTTTTTTTTTTTTTTTTTTTTTTGCGTAAGTCAGTAGATTTCCATAGGCAATTTGAAAAATAAGACACTGAACTTCTACGGGAAAGCTAAATTGAACGCACCTTGATCTTTTTGTAAGAAGTCTCTTCTTCTTCTTCTTCTTCTTCTATTTTCCGTGCCCCTTCAGAACGTTGGCAATCATGGTCCTCCACAAATTCCTGTTCTCCCGAACTCTGCTCCGCCATCCATTCAAAGGTAGTTTATGCTTTGCTATCGATCTGTTCTGGCCGATATTGAAATCAATTCATGCGGTTATGTGGAGATTCTGCATTGAAGTATTTTCATATTCATTCATAGTTTCTACCTTTTTATTCTTCTATGTGCCGTGTTCATTCAGGATGAAGGTGATCATGGCTCTCCACAATGTCCTGTCATTTGTAGCTCTTAATAAATCGTGTCTTTTTGATATCTCTCCTAAACATTATTCCTCCATCCATTTACTCAAACTCATTCTTCTTCTATGCTCCGTATCTCTTCAGGACGTTGACGACCATGGCTTTCCACAATTTCTTGTTCTTTTTTGGAGCTCTTAATAAATCTTTTTTTTTTTATCTCTCCTAAACCTTGATCCACTATCCATTTACTGAAGCTCACTTAGAAGGTTATGGATTGATTTCCCGTCTCTCTTGCCTTCGACCCGTCCTGCGAATATAAAATTTTCCAAGCCCTCTTTCCTCTTTATGTGCTCTAGAAATTTCAACTTACCTTCCTGATGTTAAATATAACTGTCCTTTTTGTTTGCATTTTCTTTAAAACTTTATCATTGCTCCCAGGTTTGGTCCATGCTATTCCCAGTATCCTCCTGTAGAACCACCTTTCTGCTGCTTCAAGTCTCTTCTTCACCTTAGAGCAGATTGTCCAACAACCAATAGCTGGGGAAGGTTAAATATGTTATGTGTTGTTTTCCTTTGTCCCTCTTTCCTTCAGGATATCCTTTGCGTATCATATTCTCCAAGCCATCTTTCCTCATTATGTGCCCTAGAAATTTCAACAATCTCTTTCTGATGTTAAGCATAAAGGTCTTTTTCATTTCTATTTATTCTAAAACTTTGTCATTGCTCACACGTTAGGTACATGGGATTCTGGACATCCTTCTGTAGAACTACTCTTCTTTGAGGAGATTCTCCAACATTCACTACCATATAGGAGGACTGATATCACATTTCTGTTGCTTCAAGTCTCTTCTTCATCTTTGAGGAGATTCTCCAACATTCACTATCATATAGGAGGACTGATATCACATTTCTGTTGCTTCAAGTCTCTTCTTCATCTTTGAGGAGATTCCCCAACATTCACTATCATATAGGAGGACTGATATCACATAACAGTTCAGCACTCCTTTCTTTGTTTCCAATTAAATTTTTTTCTGTTTCTTAATACTTTGCTTAGCTTTTGGAAGTCATCTTTCGCTATCCCAATGTGTCTTCAGTTTTCAGTGTTGCATTTTCCATCATCTTAAAAAAAAACTTAAGGTATTAATCAATTTCTACTCCACCAGCTATGGATTGAATATCAGGACAGACTGGGTCCTATAGCCTTGGTTGGCGACCATCCTATCATAAAAAGAAATGGTAACCTACTGTGAGAAAATCTTATGCCTGATCAGTGATGACTTAAGAGACATGATCGCCCTAATCTATGTCAAAATGGCACTGAACTGACTGATGTTTTGATTTCTTTTGTTCCTCTTGCCTTCAATATGTCCTGTAAGTATCAAATTTTTCAAGCCTTCTTTCCTATATGGTTCAGAAATTTCAACTATATCTTTCGCATGGTAAGTTTAAGAATATTTTTTTTGTTTCAATTTACTCTGAAACTATGTCATTGCTCACATGATAGGTACATGGGATTCTGAACATCCTTCTGTAGAACCACATTTCTCTTGCTTCAAATCTCTTCTTTTTCTGTGAAGAAGATTTTTCAGGGTCCATAGGAGGAATGATATTACATAATAATTAAGTAATCTTTTTTTGTTTTGCTTCTCACGAAGTTTTTCTTTGCCTGGCCGACCCAGCTAAACACGTGAAAATTGGTTAACTAGAATAGAACAAGGACAAAGACAAACACCATCTTTTCTTTTATTTTGAAAAACAATTACTCTGAGTTTTTTTTTTCTGAAGCAAAATGGTTGTACTGATTACAGGGAAATCGTCCATAGAAAAAGGCGGGAAATCAACCGAGAAAGACAAGATGGCTGACAGTTGAAGACGATAACGATTAATGTGAATATAAGTAAGATAAACTTATATCAAATCTATTTATACAATTTTCATTAAATGAACTTCTCTCTGAAAAAAAGGAAAACTCCGCCACCCCACATGTTATTCAAACCCAGTTGCCTATGGGTTGCCTCATTGTCTAGTGCTTTATAACGAACGGCGACTGACGCACGAGTGCACACGCACTCTAACGTACGCGATAATTAGAAGAGTGTTAAAAACTACTTACAGATACATGATAGAATTTCAAATACCTCTCTCCCATGATTAATTTATTAATGAAATTTGAATTTGTGAGTTTCTCTTGTTAACTGAGTTGTATTTTGCTCTCCTGTATTTTCCGTTGTTCTACCGACTAAAATGTGTATTTGAAAAGCTTTCCAATGTGAAAATTACTAGAAGAGTGTTGAAAAGTAGAAGAAAAATTCCCGTTTAAAACATTGTACCGAAGTGGACTCCAAATGAAGAGGAACCAAAAAAATTCATATTTATAGGAAAACTTGTTTCGATTAATCGTGATTCCCCTAACAAAACTGGTTAGAAAATTTCAACAATCTCAAAATAAATTAATTCAAAACATTCATATAGATATTTATATAAATAACATTTACTTAGACATTCCATAGATATTTATACAGAGATTATATGAACATTCTATAGACAGTTATATAGAGAACATTTATATAGAGATTCTATAAATAGTTATATAGAGAACGTTTGTATAGACATTTCATAGATATTTATACAGAGATTATATAAACATTTTAGACAGTTATATAGAGAACATTTATATAGAGATTCTATAAATAGTTATATAGAGAACGTTTGTATAGACATTTCATAGATATTTATATAGAGAACATTTATAGACAGACCTAAATTTCACCCAGCTCAGAAAAGAAAAAAAAACAACATTTTTCAACGAACTACTAACCTTCGATTGAGAGCGAGAAATTGACTGAGGATATGTATTTTTTTTTTTGTTTACTCATTTCACCCAAGCAAGGCAGAGGGTTACAGGGAGTGAAAGTGAAATAGAAGACAGAGAATAAGGAGGATTGGGAAAAGGACAAATGATGAACGGGATTCAAGAAGACAGAAGATGGCGATTGATGTTTAAATTTTTGAAGATTGTAGTTATCAGGGAAGCAAGGCAATGGAAGGGAGTTCCACAGGAAGGAAGTGCGAGAAAATAAACTATTGGAGTAGAAATGTTGGTTGCATTTAACAGTAAAAGGGTGGGTCATAGATGTCAATTTAGTAGCACGCTTAAATTCATATATTTGAGGCGCCAGGAGAAAAAGCTCGCCATGAAATTATTTGTAGAAAAATAACTGAATTTGAGATGCCTGGTCAAGATCGATTTGTTTACAAATTCTTCATTAGATTTTGTCAAGAATCACAATATGAATATCAAGAGTACCACACTAGACATGGCGACTGTATTTAATGCACGGATGAATGAGAGATTTGTAAATATGAAAGATGTATTCTGATGAGAACATTTTTCTGACAACACAATGACCCAACTTTCCTTGCAATAGGTGCAGCTATTGAATCGATGTAGTCATTCCACTTCAAGTCAGTGAAAAACGTGAGGCCAAGACATCAGGTGTGTTGGTCTCCTGGAGTCTTGTGTCAGCCATGCTGATGGCAAATTTGAAAATTTGAAATAGTATTATGTGACCAGTTATGAAAGTTTCAGTTTTAAAGGCATTTTCTCATTTCCGAACTGAGATATTTTCTTGCTTTATATATATACATATATATATATATATATATATATATATATATATATATATATATATATATATATATATAATTGCACACTCACATATATATATATATGTGGTGTGGTATGGACAGAGTTTTATAAGAGTTCAACAGTAGCCCATGCACGATGTCTTCCCTCTCCCCTCACCACGCCACCGATGACGTCAAATGGAAAGGCTTGACGCCGGTGTTGCCACAGATGTTGCCAGAACGAAATGACATCAGACTGTCTTATGAACTCCGGCTCCGTATTTGAATTCAGAGTTATCCTTCTCCTAGTCTG